TGTTAACGCTTACCACTGGCAGTAATAGTAAACACTGGATGCACATTATAGTGAAAGTTATGTAAAATAGCACATGTGAATGTATCACCAAGTATATTCTTCTTTTGTTCCATTTCACGACAACTTTATATAATACTTTAAGATTCCCAGTCCTCAATGAGCCCATTTCACGGCTGATATGAATATAAGGCCTTTGCATATGATAGAATGCACATATAGGCCTTGCCAAACTCATCACTTACACAGGAATGTAAGACTCCAGTCTGACAAGTCCATAAATCACACAAACAAGGCCCATGATGGCTGCTGGGAGCAACACCCGTGTGTAGAAACCTGTCAAACAGTCAAGAGAGTAAGATTTGTTTGATGACACTGTTTTCCTCATTGACATCCAAACTTCATGCATTGTGCAATGTCCTTGAGTCTCACTGGCTGACTAGAATACAGTCATAGCCTTTAATATGTGTTCTTCCAAAAATAAAAATTATATGCAGCCATGATTAAACAGCTGAAACAATAACTTACTTCAATCAGAGTGCACATGAAATTTGAAGTCATAAATTATATTTACCTAACCAAGCAAACTAGATTCCAATTTTCTCTCCAAAGTAATCTCTGTAACAAAATTAATGAATAATCAACCAAAACAACTATTAACAACAAAAAATGATGCACACACCCTGAGTTAAACAGTCCTGTGTAAGTGATTTTACCTGATATGATCCAATGGTTGCATTTTGTACCAGCGATGTGCTTTAACCCAGGTGTCAAACAACAACTGAAATAGCAACAACCCACAAATAAAACTATCATTGATTACCAACTGTAAAACTGGAAAAAACAATGCAATACAAAAATTTATAACTGCACATAAAAGAAAATATTGAGAAAAGCTATCAAAAGTTTCAAGTCTGATATATCTGAACACAAGCTTGAGAAGAATATCAAGAGTAGGGGTAAAAGTAAAAATATTTGGAAAGGAGAAAATTCAATGAAAAAACAAACAAACAAACAAAGTTTTCTTTGGTGATTTGACTTGTTCGACTCTAATTTTCCTCTTACAAGTTCCTGCAAAATAGGAATTTACCTTAAAACATCTAAAAGCAGGAATGTGATAAGAAGAAAGAAAAAACTTCAGGGGACAAAGTATTGTTTGATTATATAAACTGTAAAAGCTGTATGGTAGACTGGATGGAGAATTGATGTTTACATCTTTGAAAAAAAAGGTTACACGTACTGTAGCTTGAATGACAAATCAGCTTTGAAAGAAGTTTACAAAACTGATGAAGTGTAAGTTGAAGAGATGGTAATAGGATGGCATAGATTGGGTTACCGATTGTTTCACACCCACAGTCATGTCATATATACCCAGTTAGTTGAGTCATTTTGTACCCAGCTTGAGTATAAAATGAATGAGTACAAAACAACTATGGGTACAAAATGACTGCATACCATAGATTTGTTTAGGAGTTTATTAGGTCCAAGTTGTACATACACAATGTACACTGTAAACTTAACAGGAAACAACATACACAAAACTAATTAACCTTACGAGGTCTATTAATTTAAAAATAATAATAAAAAAATTACCTGTCTGGCATTTTCAGGTCTTGGAGGATCATTGGATTGGTCTTTTTCATAAGTGTCCTACATCAACCTTTGTAAAATACAAAAATGATGGTACTGTATAAAGTTATTCCATGCATTATTGAGGTAATTTTTGCAATGTATAAATCTCTACATGTCAAATTCCCTGATAAAGTAATTATAAGTTACAGTGTGCTCATCATATGCCAAATCCATCTCTTTTACCTCTCTCCAGTAAAAAAAAATCAAATGCAATTCTTTAATTTGTAACATCAACACCTAAAGGTAAAAGAACATGTTTCAAAATACTAAAAAATTACTTTTGTGTGTGTTATGAGCAACTGACAACCATACAGTTGTCCTAAATATGATTAAGACAACATGATTTTCGTACATGTTGTGTTCAAGTCTGATTGAATTATTTTGATGGTCATAAACAAAAAGTATACCCTGAAAATTGGCCTGAAGTACAATTATGCTTTGTTGCTATTCAAAATCCCTGGTTTCATTGATCAAAACTATAACAAAATTCTTGAGTTCTCCAGCTCAGTTTGAGCACTAATAGGACAGTGTACACATCATGCTTGTAATTGGACAGTGTAATAGGGTAATTAACATACCATGCCTGTGTAAGTGGAAAGAAGGTGTCGCTGTGCATGCTATTGTCTCACATTTTGCCCCTTTAACTGTTGTTTTTTTTTTAGA